GCGGCGATTCTCTCGGCACATCGCGGATGTGCCGAGACAATAAATAGAACGGGATCGATAGCCCGATGCGAGATAAACGGCGACGATTCCGTCGCTTTTCGCGGCACTCGGGGAGGGACTCTGTTCAGCGAGCGAGGTGTTTGTAGGACGGAAAGGGCGCGAGGTGGCGGAGGGGGAGGAAGCGAAACACAAAGTGCGCGCGGCGGGCGTGTAACTGACGGCCGAACGGATACAGAAAGGTTCAAAGGTTCGCCAATTTTCATTCCTTTCGTTCCCCGGGCCGTGGAGAGGCCCCAGACGCGCTCGCGTCCGTTTCGCATTTTCCTTTCGTCTTCAATTTATTCCGCGCTCCTGCCGCCGCGTGCGTCAATTTCGTTCGCTTCGGACGCGACCGGAGAGGAAACGGGCTCGTTAATGATTCGCGAGACCGAGGGCGGATGTGCGGAAAACCGAGACGAGATACGATTGCCGAGTCTCGTCCGATCCGCTCGTTTTTCTCGTCGCTGGATCGACGTGTTCGAATAATTCCTCTCTTTCTCTTTCTCTTTTTTTCTATCCTCCCTTTCGTACGATTGGTCGTATCTTGATCGCCCTCGGATGCTTTTTTTTTTTAAATGAGTTCTCTCTCGGTTTTGTAATCGTGATTTGAAAAAGCCGGTCTCTCTTTCGTATCTCTGGCAGAATTGTAATTTTTATTTTGAACCACCGTCAAATCTTTTATTTCCGAGAGGACTGAGGAAAAAATCGATTCTATGTATTTTCCAAGGAAAAGATACGCGAACGTAAAAAACGTGACTTTGCAGAAGGGAGTTTTAATAAAAGGTTTCGATGCTGTTTGCGTCGCGGCGATTTATCTTGTTTTTTCTTCTTCGTGTATTTCTGATCGAGTAGAAAATGCTGCGACACAGGTGACGGATCAAATAAAAATTTCAAAGAGATTTTCTCGATACGGTAAATTATTTTTCGATCATCCACCTCGCTTAGATCGCAAACTTGTACGCAAAATTTTTTTAGAGTTAGCGTTGGATATTATCCAACATTGGTTTTACGTAGCTCAAAAAATGTAGGAATCAATCTGCGTTTTTCACACAAAAAGATTAATCAATGTACACCCAGAAAAAAGATTTAGTTGGGTTAAGCAAATGAGATACGTTGAAATCATTTTTCTGTGAATGTATTAAATTTTTATTCACTTGAACTAAAACATTTGCTAGATTGGAAGAAATAGACGTGGATTCTCTTAGAAATTCCAGTCTCAATCAAATTAAATTTCGGGTAAGGTAAAGAAATCGGTTCTCTGAAATTAAGTAAGAGTCTTCGACGAAAATTTGTTTGACGCAAAGAAACTTTTTTTTCTGGGTGTAGACAACTTGATCGACACAACTGGTAAATTTTAATTAAAGAAATTGCGAAAAATATTACCTCGGTCAGGGTTTGAATCTGGACCTCTCTACTCTCTGGACGGGCGTCTCACCAATGTGAGATGGCATCGAGGCATGTGGTAATGTTTATCGCAAAAAAAAATTCATATTTTTCGTAGTTGGAAGTGAAATTCTTCCCTCTAATTGGATCAAGCGAGGTGAGGCGAGATGAAAGCATTAGGAATTGGTTAGCACTTTCGTGAAATTCGGAGAAGCGTCGGGGAAGCACATCGCATAAGTATCGAATCCTCCGCCTCCGCCCAGCGCGGATTTCTAAGAATTCGTCTCTCGTCGAGTTCCGAATCGATTTGTCGCGCCTCGCCTTTAATAATGTCTTTAATATTCGTAGGGCCGCTCGTCGTCTATTCAGACCGCGTACAAAGCGATAACTCAGACCCATCCTGCCAGAGCCGTTCTTTGTTTCTCTCTAATCTCTCTCTTCCCATGTTACTTCGTTCTCACGTCTCGCATTTAGTTCATATTCGTCTTGCTTCATCGTCAAAATTACATGACGTCTCGCGAAGCCGAAAACGTTATCGTGTAATCGGCACGCGGTACAGTACAGTGCGTGTCACTTCCCGCGAGACATTTTCGGGAATCGTTGCAGTAGCAAATCCCGTCCCTTTGTTTGTCAGGGTCGCGCTGCAAAACCTTCAGCCTGATCTACAATGTGCTCGTCGCGTCCAGAAACATTCGATTTTGTAGCCAATAAACACGTTTAATTTTGCGCAAGTTGATAAATTGTATACGGAAAGGATTTTTTCTTAAAATTTCTCCTGAAAATCCTGTAATCGTTGGACAACGTGGCATTTCGGCGAATTTTATGAGAGTTTTTCGAAAGTTTATCATACATTTTACTGATAGAGTGTATGGTGAAATTTCACAAAAACTCACAGTTCAAAATGCCATGTCGTCCCACGCTTACATGATTCTCAGGACAAATTTTGAGAGACAATTCTCTCCGTGTACAACTATATATTTGTACACGGAAACTGGCCGGCTAAGGCAAAAATAACTAAAATTGAAATGTTGCCGTATAAATAGGGGGGTATCTACATTGTCTTGTGTTGCAACATTCACTAAGTTTGCTGCACAAGGCGCATGTGGTTGTCTCCACTACTTACGGGTATGACAACGACAGACTGAAAAAAATTTCTGGTTGAATATGGACGAATCAGATAATTCCTTTAGGATTTACCAGAATCCTTTAGGATTTACCAGAATTTCTGTAGGATTACAGGAATTCTGGTAAATCCTAAAGGAATTATCTGATTCGTCTATATTCAACCAGAAATTTTTTTCAGTGCAGATATAGCTGTACCAAATATTATTATTCATCGGGGTTGTGCCAACCCTAATTAGACACGTGATAACCATATCGGTCTCTCCGTGTACAGTGTCGACAAATTTTTTGAAGCGTTTCGCTTGAATGAAATATTGCTAGACGCAGAGAGCACATTGTGGATCTTGAGTTTTCTTCACCGAGGAAACCTCTTGCCCGATGGTCATTCCGAAAGCTTTTCGAGCGTTTCCGATTGGTTCCGATGCATCTTTCGACTGAAATTTTCATGTGGAAAAATGAGGGGACTTTTCCAGAGGTACAAATTCGCAACGATCCGGCCGTGCTCGTGGAAAAAAAGATAGCAACCCATTTTGGGGCGCACAATTGGTAATCGAATCATTTGGATTGTTCGTAACTCTAATCCTTTACGAATTTTACCCCGCGTAACTAAAAATAGCAATTAGCTATTCTATCTATAGCCAAGATTTTAACGTAATACTAATAATCAATTCTCTCAATTACTTCTGTCGATATACAGTAACGCAAAGATAATCTTCACTTAAGAGGCACTAACCGAAATGTTAAGTTGCCTAACTACAAAAGGAACGGTCAAAATTTCTCCCAGAGTAGAGTGTTACGAACAATCGAAATAATTCGATCACTAATTGTGGGCCCCAAAATGGGTCGCTGGCTTCTTTTTTCCCCAGAGTGTGTTTGCGTTGCCGGCGCATCTCGCGCGAAGAGAATCGAGTTGAGAGACCCTGCGCATGGGGTGACTATTATTGATGCGGAGAGGAGGGAGAAAAAGAGAAAGAGATGAAGAAAGAAAGGGAGAAAAAAAAGAGAGCGGGGGCGGCGAAAGAGAAGATTACGCCGACGAGTGCGTTGGGGTGACTACCTTCGGGATGTACTTTCCACTGCGCGAATGTACTTGCCAGCCGCTGGCGAATCAATCCGCGGAATCAAATTGACACCCTGTTTACAGTTTAATGATTGCAAAATTGAAT